TAAGTGGGTAACGATTAAAAAAAAAAATGAAGGTTTCGGGAAAGGTTTAATTGAGATATTCATTAATCGGGATTTTCGTCAAGGGTGTTGAAACATTAAAAAATTCAATAATTCTTTTTATCGATGAATGTTGCACAAATTTTTTTAGATCAAACTATGCAATATTTAGCTAAATAATAATAAAACATTTAATAGAACTATAATTTATAAATCAAAATTAAAATAACAAAAAAGAACATTAGAAATTTTACTAATAAAGGTAAGCATAAAATCAAAGGAAAGAGAGAATCGGGAGGATTTGTAGTTTGTAGAGAGCGTTTGTTTGAAGAAATTTTTGTAAAGTTTGACTTTTAAATTATAAAATTTATTTAAGAAATAACTTTTAGTTAGAAATTACTTTTAAGATTAGTTGTTTATTTCTACACAAATTTTAAAATTGAAAGTCATTTTATTAGGAGAACTTTTAGATGAAAAAAAATCAAATAGGCCATAACAACACGTCACTTTGAATACCTTAAATCGCTGAACTACCTCACTTAACTATATTAAGAGTATTCAAAATATAATATATAATCATATAAAATAATATTTAATTTATATACGCAGTATAATTTTTCGACAAAGAATAAGCTTTGGATGGCTACGCCACTAGAGATATTTAGAGTGCAAAAGGCATCTCAAAAGTTGTGAGATTTTTAATTCCCTTCTTTTCAAATAGTTGACAATTATAGAGAATTGCCGGCCTAAGAATTATTGATTGAATATGACAACTGCACAAGTGCAAGGACGAAAATTGAACTTAAGCTAACAAATGATATCTGGCCTACTAAAAATGCAGCCCGGTGCATAAGTCATCTGGCGTTCACGCAGGGTTCGGGGAAGGGCCGCACCATAAGGGTATGATGTAGACTGTCTATCTTAATGAAAGCATTAGTGGTTGCTTCCACGATTTAAACTCGTGATTTTATAGGTAGACAACTTTACCGTTACTCCAAGACTCCCGTTCCTGCTACAATTTCAAAATAAATTTTCTTGTAAAGACCAAGTCTTGTTGCAATATTGAACCCTAACAAAATTCAAATATTTGTTCAACAAGTTCTTTTCTCAATTTATGATACCACAGCAGATAGAGTACTCCTTTCATATTCTTGACCTGATCCAAGAAGGCAACTAAGATATATAATAAGTTTTTTCCAAGTGAATTTTCAATTCCAGAATTGACATATTACCTATCAGGAAAAGAATATGCCTGCATAAAGCCTGATCTTTTACAAGTACAAAGTTCAAGACTTTAATCCAATTCTAACTCTCTAGAGCTAGAGAAAAAAATTTAAAATGAGTCTTAAATTTGTATTTCTTTTATTGCTTCTCCCTTTGCTTATGGTTTTAGATCAATCCATAGCAGCTTCATCTAGTGCAAAGCCTGGCTGTGAAGAGAGTTGTGGCAACTTTACAATTCCTTATCCATTTGGATTAAGTGCCAGTTGTTCCCTTAATTCTTGGTACTTAATCAAGTGTGATCGAAATTATAATCCTCCTAAACTTTTCTTAAATTCATTTCTGCAAGTTGAACTCCAGAGTGAAGTGATATCTGTGTCACTGAAAAACCAAACTATCACTACCTTAGTTTCTATTATAAATTTTTGCAACGATTCGAGTCAAGGCAGTAGAATCATCACAACAGGCACAAATTTATCTGGAAGTCCTTTCTATTACTCAAAAGACAGGAACAAGTTGATGCTTGTTGGTTGTGGTAATGGTCTTGTGACACAGAACTTAAATGTGCTTTCGGGATGTACATCTATCTGTAGCGAAGGTGCAACGTTGACAGGATGCTATGGCATCAACTGTTGCCAATCTCTTGTCCCTTTTGATCTTAGCTTGTACACAGCAAACTTCACAAACTCGGGGATTCAGCAAGGACCTTACCCGAAATGTTCTGCTGCTTTCTTGGTAGACCAAACTTGGGTTCCTGATGAAGCTGCACAGCCTTTTACTTTTCTTGGTTATGCTCCTGTTGTTTGGCTCTGGACTCTCCAAGCCAAAGAGTTGGAAGCCGGGTTGCTTTGCAATAAATCTGGTGTTGCTGTTAAGTTGGAAGATGGTACTTCTGTGGCTAATTTGCAGTGTCACTGTGGACCTCGAACACAAGGGAATCCATACTTCTCTAATGGATGCCAAGGTACGACTCGCTTAACACAATCATTTGATATTTATGTCGAGTTATGAGGTGTCTGTTGCATTGAACAATATCCTGCATATGCACATCAGATGAACCAGATTTCTAGGAAAAAAGACTGACTATACGATTAGGAGACTCGAGTGAACACAACTTTAGAGCAAACAACAGAAGGCATTTTAACATAGCTTGAGTTGTTCTTATTTCAAATTTATGTCTGGCCACTGGCAAGACACAATAGGGTCAAGTTGAGGTAAACTATATAGTTATGTGCTAAGCGGTAGCATGTGAAGTTCAATGTGATTTGATAAAGTTGGTACAAAAATTAGGTTGACTGTAGGAAATCTTTTGCTATGGAGTTCGAAAACTAAGATTTGAAAGTGGAAAAAAGCTCACACATAACCTCTTCAAAAATAGAGGAGAGTAAAAATCAATAGGCCAGGGCACTTATATTTGGTGTATTTCCTTGATACATATCATTCTAATATTGTTTTGTATGTCAATCAGCCATTCAAGGATGCACCAACTGCACAGAGGTGGTATACTACTCAAAGAAGCCAGCTTCCACTATCATTTACCTCAGTAAGTCACTTTCTGTTGTACTTCCTAGCCATTTGAAAACTCAACACTGTCCGAACTACATCTATAAAACGGTAGACATCCTAAATTTTAATAATTTAGAGGTTGCAAATCAAGAAGAAAGGAGGCCAGTTCTAAAAGTTATCCATCTCTTCTATTCTACCCTGTTCAATCACAGAGAAACACACAGAAATTCCCTTAAAAAAGGAGAAAAAATGGCTAATTCTCCTCACTCCTATATCCACAGGTGTGTTCCTAAGTATTGGAGTGCTGCTTATACTGTTTGGGAGCTATTTATTGTACAAAACATTCAAGAAGAGAAGGAACAAACGACAGAAACAAATGTTTTTTAAGCGAAATGGTGGCCTCTTACTACAACAGCAGCTATCATCCAATGAAGGGATCATTGACAAAGCAAAACTTTTCACAGCTAAAGAGCTGGAGAAGGCAACAGACTACTTCAATGAAAATCGCATACTTGGTCGTGGAGGACAAGGTACGGTATACAAAGGCATGTTACCCGATGGAAATATTGTAGCAGTGAAAAAATCAAAGTTGGTAGATGAAAACCAGTTGGATCAGTTTATCAACGAGGTTGTTATACTTTCACAGATCAATCACAGAAATGTTGTGAAGCTACTCGGCTGTTGTTTGGAAACAGAAGTTCCTCTACTTGTATATGAGTTTATAATTAATGGTACACTTTACAGCTTCATACACAATGAGAATAATGAGTTTCCCTTTCCTTGGAGCACGCGTTTGAGAATTGCTACAGAGGTTGCTGGAGCATTAGCTTATCTACATTCTGCAACTTCTGTTCCAATATATCATAGGGACATCAAATCTAGCAATATACTTTTAGATGAAAAATACCGTGCCAAGGTATCAGATTTTGGAACTTCAAGGTCTATAGCAATTGATCAAACACACCTAACAACCAGAGTCCAAGGGACTTTTGGCTATTTAGATCCCGAGTATTTCCAATCCAGCCAATTCACAGAAAAGAGCGATGTATATAGCTTTGGAGTTGTTCTTGCTGAACTATTAACAGGAAATAAAGCAATTTCAACTACAACAAACGAAGGCAGAAGTTTAGCAACAAATTTCCTTTTGGCAATGGATGAAAATCGCCTCAATACAATTCTCCATGCAGAAGTTACACAAGAAGGTAGAAAGGAGGATATAATGGCAGCTGCTAATGTAGCCTATCGTTGCTTGAACTTGAACGGTAAGAAGAGACCAACTATGAAGGAAGTAAGCATAGCATTGGAAGCCATAAGATCACAAGTGCCTTCTGCAGCAGTAACAAATTTTCAGGGAAATACAGAAGAAAGAAGTGTGATATCAGAAGTTAACTACACATGGACTAGCACAAATACTACCACCTCATCATCAGATATCCATCCATTGTTGTTTGAAACTAATTGATTGTTATTTCCATCCAGGGTATGTGATTAGAGCTTGTCACCAAGTATAATTTTTGTAGCCAAGAGCAAAGACAACTTTATTTTTCAAATTTTGTCTTACTTTTCTCATACTGCTGCTAAGGAATGTCTGACTATACATATTTATTTTTACTCATTCTTGATAAACATTGTCTGAAAGCCTAAATGCATAGGGATTTGACACTTAATTACATCTTTAACATGGTCGCTAAGACTCTTAAGATCTTTTTTTTGCATGAACTAATTACAAAAAATTTCGACTATGGAAACAGTCATACTCGAGCTCAGGTCGTTATATAACTCTTTTAACAAACAAACAATTGCATAATGCTTCAATGAAATATTGGTTATTTTCAGAGGCGGATTTAGAATTTTAGTTCTATGGGTTCAACATTTAAACTTATGGGTTCATATCTATTATTTATTGCAATTTTAGTGGTACACATGAATTTATGCTCTGTATCGAGCTTACTAGGTTCAGTTGAACCCGGTAATTGTATGGTACATCCGCCTCTGGATATTTTTATATTAAACACTTCAATAACCATTTATTCACATAATCAGATACCGTTTACATAATGAAATTGGAACTGTAGAAAATCACTTTTTTGTTTTAACGGATGCTCATGTAATGGTTCAGTACGAGTTATATTTTAACTATCTCCTTTCCCATTTTTTTATCTCTTTTTTTTTTTTTTGTAAAAAAAGGGAAGAAAAAGAAAAGAAATAATTTGGTAGACGGGGCCGATCATTCATTGATGGTGTAAATGGCTGACAAGGCCCAAAATAAGTTTTAAACGTAAAGCCCAACCACCAGAAAAATACTAGGGCACACTACTCCTCTACCCTCTCTGATCTCTCTCTCTGTGAAGCTAAATTTTGTCTTCTCCGGAAATCTCAAGCTTTGGATCATCGAACTTCAGAAACAGGTCTGCAAAAAGTATAACTTTTGAAAATCTGTAAAGGCATATAGTCACTTAAACTATCTCTCTTTTTACTTCCTGCTGTGATTTTTTTTTTTTTTGTCTTTAAGTTTAAATTCTTGAATTTTTGCCAGGATTCAAAAATATAAGCTTCTAATCGTATAAAGTTCAATTTTTAGCTCCTTCTCTGAACCCCATTTACCAAATAGTTAAGAAAAAAGGGTGGATATATAGTTGGTGTATATGTTGTATATATGCAGTTTCTGTGTTGTAAAGGTTTAGCACATTAATAATAGTCAAACCCCAGAAAATTAATAATAACTACTGTAAGTTAATGATTTAGAGGCAACTATTATTCTTGAAATTGCATTATTATGTGCTGCGTTAGAGTAATTGCAAATTAGATGTATCAAATATGAATCCTTTTTAGTAAGATTCTTGGAAATTCAGTGCCCAAGTTCATGCTTTCATTAATTGCTATGTTATGCAGTTGGAAGAGGAGGAAAAAGAAAAAACTAAAAAGAAGAAATAAAGCATGGGTGAAAGGATGTCGGAGCATGAGGTTGCAAATCCTACACACAACAAGAAAACTGGTCTGCCCCGTAAACGTTTTTATAGAGCTCGTGCTCATAGTAATCCGTTAAGTGACTCGCATTTTCCAATTCCTATTTCCCCTGCTGAGGTTGATTATTCCCTACATTACCCCGAAATGGTTAAAGTAGATGGTTCTAAAAAGATCCAGTTTGCTGATGTTGGTTGCGGATTTGGGGGTCTTTTAATCGCCCTTGCACCCCTTTTCCCTGATACCCTTATGGTTGGGATGGAGCTGAGGGACAAGGTGACAGAGTATGTAAAGGAGCGAATTTTGGGGTTGAGGACGACTAATCCTGGTCAATACCAGAATGTTTCGGTGGTACGGACCAATTCAATGAAGTACATTCCAAATTACTTCGGGAAAGGACAGCTTAAAAAGATGTTTTTCTTGTTTCCGGATCCCCATTTCAAAGAGAAGAATCATCGTCGACGGGTTATTAGTCCGTTCTTGCTAGACGAGTATGCGTATGTGCTTGCAGTTGGTGGAATTATATACACAATAACAGATGTTGAGGAGCTTGGTGAGTGGATGAAATCGTGTTTGGAAGAACATCCAATGTTTGAGCCACTTACAACTGAAGAACTTGAAGCTGATCAGGTTGTAAAACTCCTCAGTACTGCAACAGAAGAAGGACAAAAGGTAGCACGCAATGATGGACAAACATTCCGAGCTGTTTATAGACGAATTGCAACTCACTGAGTTATCACGGTGAAATTCTAGGAATTTTTGTAACTTTATTCGCTGCTTTGAGTCTTCATACATGCTTGATGGTAAGAGATGAGATTTTCTTTGTCTTCCGCTGTTGAGCCAATACAATTGTGGTCTGCGCACTAATTATAGATACATCTTGTGACGGATTATAGAGATTAATCACCATTTGGCCTTTTCTTCCTTCATTTTGGTTGTCCCATTCTTGAGAATGCAGTTAGTTTTGATTTATTTAAGTACCTTATCTGAAGGCAGCGCATCTACTCTTGTAAGCCTCTAGCTAATTGCTTAAAATGGATTTTTTGTTGCTGGATATGCTTAGTGGATAGCTGCAGAAGAATGTTTTGCTGTTAATGCAGTGTCATCAAGAATTTTGATAGGATAAGATAATATTTGAATTAGCAGAGGAGACTGTTGTGACAAAATATTAGCTGTGCTAGAACAAGTACCACCTCTGATGAGATTCAAACGCTTGTATTCTGCTTATATCATGATCTACTCTTCCTGATTGTTAAACTTAACGTTGTTCATGGTGTATCCAGATTCCAGTGAGCATCGACAAGTATCATTCTCATTTCTGAATCTAGCCCACATTCCCCCTTGAACACACACACACACACTTTATATATATATAGAGAGA